AACCCCGGGGCAGCATGCCTGAGTCCAGGGAGCGGGGCTGGCCGTGCTCGGGGCGGGCGCACGGCACAGCTGGGACACAGGACCCTTCCCCACTTACGGCCTCGCGGGCGCTGCAACTCCTGTGGGGCCGGGTCCCTCTTCCTGCCCCCGCAGGCGGGGCCACTCAGACTCCACAGACACCAGGTAGCTGTATGGACACGCTAACCCGGAAACACAACCTCCTGCCGGAAGTGACAGAGGTCAGGAAAGCATGTGCAAATGCCGGCGGGAGGGGCGGAGAAGAGCGGGCCGGGCTGGGCCGGGCAGGATTTTTAATGGCACGCTGCTGCCTGCCGGGGTCCCGGCCGCCGGCCCCACTCAGTCCACTTCTGGTGGCCGGGATTGCCATTAAAAATCAGCTCGTGTGCCGTCTTTGGCACGCGTGCCATAGGTTGCCGACCCCTGACCTATTCTGATCAAAACTAACAAAGGTGAACGGGTCTGGTCTTGAGCTAGGAGTTTGTTAGTTCTTAGCTAATGCCTGCAGCCTGGGCAAGAGCTGGCATTTGGCCTGCCAGCATCACAAGTACCACCCCCTCTCCCGATAATATCTTAGCACATATTCGAATCAGGAAACTAATTATAGGCCCAGACATATTGAAACATTTTTCTTCCTTCTTTCTGCAACGTAATTTAAACTGCTCTTTTTTTTTTTTTAATCCCCTTCATAATCTTCTGCAGTAGATTTGAGGAATTATGGAGTAACTGTTATACCATTATTTAAAAAATAGGTCTTATTTTGTGCATCACGGCAATGATGTTCTCAGTTATCCTCATCTCGTTGGAGAGGGTGTTCCACAGTTATGATTTCTATGGATAGATACACCATGGTATGAAACTTCTCTTTAACTCTCCATAATGTCTTGTCCCCTCATCCCCACGCATACCGTCTGCTTCTTCTCCACAACAGACTGCTCCTCATGTTTCCCATGCATACTGTCCTCTCACCTATGCTCATGTTCACTGTCCATTCCTCATGAGCAAGCCCCATAGCCATGTCTGCATTCATGACATTCTTTCCAGACCACAACGTCTATAAAAGAGACGTCATATTTTAAAATGAACTAGCACAGCAATCTGGCCTCAGTAAAACTATTTCAGTAATTAATTTGTGACCTATGGTGTGGGGAGAAGGGTGGAGAATAAGAAAACACAGACCACCACATTTTACAAGGTCTCCTGGAATCTGAGGTTTTGCTGCCCTCACAAGCTATTTCTTGCATTTGCAGGGCTCACATCTCTAGGCTGAGTTGATGAATCTCATTTACTTGTTAATCTGAAGCATTTTTCCCCGTCAAAGGTAATTCAATTTAATGTAAGGGTGATTCTAGCCAAAAACAAGCATACTTTTCCCCCCATGCACTCCTTCCTATATATATTCTACCATATATAAGATACACTGGCTCCAGTGGATGCCATATATATCACATGTATAGGGTGACCTGATGTCCCGATTTTATAGGGACAATCATGATTTTGGGGTCTTTTTCTTATATAGGCTCCTATTACCCCCCCTCCGCGTCCCGATTTTTCACATTTGCTGTCTGGTCACCCTACACATGTATCCGCTGGCCCAAATTCTGCTATCATTTGCACCAGCACAAGCCCGTTTAAATCAAGTATGATTGCGTATTTTGGATCACTTCTCTATTTTTTTCATGATAAGTATTCTTTCTTCTCCACATTCTCCTGGTTTCTTTATTCCCAGTCTCTCTTTAGCAAACATGAGCCTACAAGTCTTTAAGAAGTGGCTTCTTGTTCCACCAGTATATCTCCAGTGGCTTCAGAGGAGTTACGCTGGATTAACACAGGTGTAAATGAGATCAGAATCTGGCCCTGAGCTGGAGCAGATTCAAAATTAGCAAAATGAGTTCACTGCAAACAAAGTTATATTCAGGAAAGTTTTTACAAATGGCTGTCAATGGCAATATATTAACATGCCATTCCTTACATATGACAGCACTTTCAATGGATAGGTGAATTTACATTACAAAACCAGAGTATATATCTACTATGAAGAAGACAAGCACTTCCATTGGCACCAGGATGCCTTCGATAAATCAGCCAATGTATTATTGTTTGGCTTTGGGGGCAGTTGCAGGTAGTCAATATTTTTTTGTAAAGGAGGAGATTTTAAAAGGACAAAGAGCAGGTAGGTGCTCAATCCCCTTTGAAAGTAAATGGGAGTGAGAATCCTAACGACCCTTTATGCCTTAGAAAATCTCCCCCTTAATTACAAGTCAAGCCAAAACCAAATAGCAAATATCTTATAAATGTTTAGTACATACTCCCTTTTCCCTCATAGGTGCTTGTCTTTTTAGGCCTCATGATTGCAAATAGTTAAGCACACGCTTAACTTTAAGCCCGTGAGTAGTTCCACAGACGTCAATGGGAGTGTCCACATGCTAATTAAGGGGAGGGTCAGATTTACCATTTATTCAGCAAATTTATCAGGCCATCTTTCCCTGTAGAATAATCAAACAGACAGTTCTCCAGAACTGGAAGGAGTCTCAATCTCTTTATGGCTCTCCACAGCGGGTAACATGGAGGCACTGAGGAGAGTAGTATCTGGGGGGTGCCAAATCCTGCTCCCACTGTGCCACTGATCTGGTCAAGATCCCCATGCGGGCAGCCCACCAGATTGCTGAAGTGGTATCCGCAGCCTCTGGATCCCTGAATATCTGAAGCCTCCAGAGTCTGTACAGGCATTGTCCCAGTCTTGGGGTCCCTAGGCACATCCTTGATCCATTGTCTAACACTCCCTCCTGAGAGCTGAAATCTCATGTTCCCCTGCCCAAGCCCTGGAACCAAGACTCCCTGTTAGCTTGAATGCATCCTCTCTGAGAATCCCACCAAAGGTATGAGCTTTCTGGTTTTCCTCTTCAAGGGGTGACATGGTAGGTGTAGCATATACCACACACAGACACTCTGCATAGAATTCTACCATGCTGTTGTTCTTTACTTAATCACATGATCTATAAAAAAAAAAAACTCTACACACATTTCCCCATCTTCATTTCCTCACTACTGCAGGGCATTCTTTGGGCAGGGGTAGGTGTCCTCTGGGGCCGTCCAGGTCTTTCTGCTGCAGAGCTTGCCTTGAGTTCCAAAACCTACAGTCTCCTCCCCCAGCTCACCTCCCCTGGTCTTCTTGGTTGATCTATGCCCTTCCTTCTTCCTTCCCGCACTTTCTCTGAATATCTCTCTTCTTCCGCCCTATGAATCCTTATTTAAACCCATAATTTGTCACCTAGCATCTTTTGTTCTGTTCCTGGTAAATTTCTGCTCTCTGCTTTCCCCCTCTCCTCAGAGAGGTCAAGTAAAACTAGTTTCCCCTAAGATGCAGTTACTCGTTTGTTCTCCCCAGGTAAGACTTACTCATGTGCTGATAGTCCTTCACAATTGACTTGATCTGGCAGAGATGTGTCACAAGTCGTGTCTGTTCAGGGTGGCTACACATGCAAAGGGGCATTCATGGTACAACAGTTTCATAATACTTTCATCATAACCGCATAATATCAACCATCACACCCTGCTCATGTAAAAGTTCTATGGTAGACAATAGGCCAGATTCTCAGCAGGTGTAATGTCATCTCTGCCAATTTACACCAGTTGAGGCTCTAACCAAATGTGAGTAAGCTGATAGGCTTTTCCCACTCTTGCACCCACAACTCTTGGTTAAGGGCTTTGGATAACATTTTCAAAAGCATGTAAATGAATTAGGCATAGACCTGAGCAGGAAGAATTGCTGTGATTTTCCAAATATTTTCCTGTCCTGAACTGAGACAAAAAGTTGAAATCTTGAAAAAAATCTAAAATCCATAAAAATGTCAGTTCAGGTCAATTAAAATGTTTCATTTTAACTATGCCCTTTAAAACACACTTAACTATAAATTTACTTAAATGATGTCATTCTGACATGAAAAATAGAAATTGTTTTCATTCAGAAAAGGTCCAAATAGGATGTTTCAAAAATTTTGAAACTTTTTTTTTTTTATTTGAAATGGGAAATACATCAAAACGGACCCCTTTCTGCACACAGTTTTGGATTGGACCAATTGGCATTTTTCGACAAAAAATGTTTAGTTGAGAAATCCCCAACAAGCTCTACTTCAGAATTTAAGTCCCATTTTCAGAAGTGACGTGGGCATTTAAGTCCCATTAACTTTCAGTGAGACTTAAGATCCTGAGTGCCTAACCCACTTCTGAAAAATGGGACTTGGGATCCCAAGTCACTTAGGCACTTTTGAAAATTTTCACCCTGCGTCATCCTGGGATAAATGCCCATCTCAGCCAGTGAAGTCACTAGGAAATCTCATCCCTTGCGGGACTGGACTTGAATTTCACAGACGACGAGGGCGCTCAGCAAATCCCAGGACTGGGAGCTAGCACCGAACATGTTTGGTCCCTTTGCACACTCTCCTTCTATTGTATGAAAGAAAACAAGACTAATTTAAACCATATGTTGCAATGCCATAGTGACAGCATGGGAATGGCAGTCCAAGTGTGACAAACCAGCTGTCAGCAGTCACAGTTTTATAGAATGTTTTAATGAAAGGCACTGGGAGAAGACTTTTTCATTTGGGGATGAATGCTAAAAAGGGTGCGATTCATAATACCGTCAACTGAGCAGAGTGCTTTGTCTTGATTTTGCAAAGATCAGACATGTTTATATATTTTTCCTCCTTCCAAACAACAGTCCCATCTAAAGCAATGGGCTAAAATAGCAGAGACTGGGCACTGCCGGCAAGTATACAGCAGCCACAGAAGATTCCCTGCCTGACCCCCTAAATGACATCAGTGTGTCAAACTTGTGTAATGAGTCAAGGCCATATACACACACAAACACCGCAGTCCTCAGCTAAACCTTAATGTTTATGGGCCTGCCTCCTCGCACCTTTTTCATCCACTGCACAGCTCTGTATACAGCAAGAAACAGCCTAGCGCTCTCTTGTCTGCGTCCTAATTGCCATAGCTGATTTTATCTCCAGTCGGTACACTTTAAGATTTACCATCCCCTGTTTAATTCCTTTCATTCCTCCATCAGAATGTTTGGATCATTTTCTTTGATCTCTGGTATAAAAGGTTGTTTAACCTTAAAAGTTTTTTTTTTTTTTTTTTTTTTTTTAAATTTTTTTTTTTTTATTTTTTTCATTAAAAAAAAATAAAAAAAAAAAAAAAAAAGCAGCAACCATCACATCATCAAAAATCTGTTAAGTGCACAGGCTAAGGGTTATTCTTTTTTTCCCTCCCCAGAGTACTCTTGAAACAAAGCATTACCATAGCAACAGCCACTGCTGCTCCCTAGATAAGGAGTGCAGGAGCACACAGCAGCAGCAGTGAAAAACGTTCCTGCTTCAGTGAGTGCTGACCCGGTATCACACCCATCCCAGAGCCTTTCACCGGTCGGTAAGTACGTCTGCACACAGGCACTTTACCTTTGCTTGAGTAACAATTTTTTTGCAGGACCAAGTTAGTTACAGTCATTTGATATTTTCTAGTTGCACTTCTGTAGACTATTATCTATACCAATGCTGAGCTTGCAGTAAAGTTCAGGACTCCAAGGACTCCACAGGATAGATTTGGAAGAAGTAAACATATGATACCATATGGTGAAAGTTGGAGGTGGACTGAGCTGTGAATGGGAACGCTGGGATGGCGGATGAAGTGCTATAAAGACAAATGTGTCAATTTATTTTAATTGCAGTGTTATTTCATGGACAAATTGTGCAAATTGACAGAATATGAAAGATTCTTAGGATTTTATCCAACTAAAAAGAAATGACATGTGTAGGGTATGTTTTGCTCCTAGAGGAATTAATTAGGCAAGGTTTTGCATATTTAATCATCTCCAAGTACAGCAACTTTTTTTGTCAGAAACTCAGACATTTTATTCTGCTTTTGATCCATTATTCAAGTTTAGCTGCTGCTACTACAGGGCCTGATCCAAATCCCTGTGTGAGTCTCTCTCCATGGACTTGGCAGACTGTTCAAAATCAATTTTGTGGGCTAGGTGCAACACACTGAGTTATTTGTCAGAGGTTTGGGTGGACAAAGAATGCACAGTCCGGATTTTAAACACATGCAGTATTATGTATCGTAGAGATGGTACATTTTAAGGCTGCTTTATAAAAACAAATTCAGACCACGTTGGTGAGAGTTTTTGGAAACAACAACCTAGTGTCAAATGAAACTTTTAACCCTGGAGTAGAAACTTTGTATAATGTTATCAGGGCTCAAGTCGAGGCAAGTTACTCTGATGAGGTGGTATAAAACCACAGTGATCAAACTGCCAGTGAAGAATTTCATTTAGAGACCTCTTGAAAAAAATAGTCAGTCTCCTTGTGTATGACATACATTTTCTAATCTTAATGTGCTTAATTCAAAAACCTACCAGAGGACTTACTTGTGCGGGTGGCAGAATATAATCGGGGTATAGAAGAAAGAGCACACTCTCTAGTAACGAAATCAAATCTTCACTTCTGATCAGAGGAGAATGGACCATTCTCCACTGCCTTGCTCCTGGAATAGTCATTTTCAGCTGTGCGAAGTGAGTGCGTAGTAGGCGTAAAACACTATTGTACTGGAATGGTAGCATTTTACACCCACTTTGTACAGATGTAAATGGCTGCACTAGGTGCAAAACAGGAATGAACTGAGCCTCTGGCTCTTTTTTAGGGCTCAATCATAAAGTCTCTTGCTTTCTCATAGAGGGGACTAAGGTGATTCCCCACTCTCCCGTATGTGTTATCCACATTGTAAGAGCCTCCAAAGGATTGGGGGCAGGGGAGAGAAGCTGCCAACAGGCAGGCAGGGGTTGGAAGCCTGCCTACACCACCCCTTCATGCAGATGCCAGCACCTCTGAGTCAACAGAGGGGAAGCACTAGCAAAAAGGCTGGCACAGCTTATTTCCCCCTTGGTGTGAAAAAGCACCAGCTTGTGATTCTTGAAGTCACAGGCCAGGTCTACGCTACAGAAAAATCCACACACCCCGAGCGACGGTGGGAAGGCTTCTCCCGTTGACATAGCTACCACCTCTCAGGGAGGTGGAATAGGGCTTGCACAGACTAGCCACCTTCCTGAGTGACGTAAGTTACACCGAAGTAAGTGCTAGTGTGGACAGCGCTAGGTCGGTGGGAGAAGCTCTCTCACTGACATAGCTACCGCCGCTTGGGGAAGCAGAGTAATTTTGCCGATGGGAGAGTTCTCTCCATCAGGATAGAGCGTCTGCACTAGCAGCACTACAGCTACATTGGTACAGCTGTGCCGCTGTAGTGATTCTACTGTAGACTAGCCCTAAGTATGCCAACAGGAGAAGCTAGGAGCATCTTCACTTAAGCAGCACAGCGCAGCTGCGCCGATCCAGCCTGTTAAGTGCAGACCTGCCCACAGTCTGATTCATGTCCTGCCACTGGGACAGTGCAGCCCTTCGCTTATATGTCCATTGGGCAACACCCTATCAAATATTCATAGTTACCACTTGCAGCTCTATAGTACATCAATAGCAGCTAGAAAAGCATTGCTCACTTACATGCACACAAACACATTCGCAATCCCACCTCCAAATTTAAGGCCCTAGCTGGCAGCCCTTACTCACACAAAACAGTCCTATCAAAATAAGAGGATCGGATTCTGCTCCCATTAAAGTCAGTGAAGATTTTTCCATTGGCCTCAGTGGAAGCAGGATTGGGCTCAAAGGCACTATTCCGCTGAGGAGGGGGCCAGGCCTTTAATTTCTCATACCCTGTTTTTCTTTTCATCGAAATTTGATTGCTAAGAAGGGAAAAAACAAACAAGAAAATAATCGGCACACAGCCCTTTCAACAAGCAGTCCCTGTCCTTGTCTCAGAACATTATAATTAAAACTGGAAGAAAAATATTTTGGGTTATTAGTCAATAGCATTTTCCTTTTCAAACACTATACAAAAGTTCACGTTAATTATTGGCAAGTGTATATTTTTAATTAAGTGCACTGGGTCCAGGGGAAGTGTAAGTACCTTGCATTATAACTGTTTCTATGGTAACATTTTTATTAACTAGCAGAATAAATATTCATATTAAACCTGCATTACTTACCACAAAAGAGTCTTCTCAACAGCTGTTATTTATGCACCATCCATGCCAACGTTTCAAAGGTCTCTTCAACGATGACTCATAGATTACATGCTGGGGGGTTGCTCTTATTTTTCTTGGTGACCACATTGCTTATGGGCTCAGATGACCCTTTGGGTGAATAGAACATCCAGGGGCTAGCATGAGAGATGTGTGCACTACTGAGCCATTAGAAGGCGCACCTTGGGTAAAGCTTGCAAGGGTTCAACATACATTTTATAAATCTACACTATACATGGAAAACTTGCAATAGAAATTTGTAATAAATCACCCCCCTAAATGTGAAACATTAAGGTCTATTGTCATCTATAATTTCAGCAGGAGTTCGCTTTGTGCCTATGGTTGCAATTGCTGTTAATGTTAACAGAAGCTAAGAATAGCCCTGCTGGTGTATCATCTGACATCTAAACAGTCATTTATTACTTATGCAACTTTTTAATCTTCATGCAGTTATAGTAAAAGAAAGTCTCAGCCAGTTTTAAGCAGATGTCATTTGGATGGAACTGAAGGGCATGATTTTCAACGATGGGCTGTGCACTGAAACATAAAAATAGCAGAATTCAGCATGCACGTTGTCCACTTAGATGGACACCTCTGTGCACAAACAGTACTTTGTTTGTACAGTCAGGCAGATGGGCAAGGCAACTGGGCACATGCAATCATGCATGGCTGTCTTTAAAAGCCAGGCCCCAAATGACCTAGTTATACTTATTTTGCAAGGTAACTGCTGTTGCAGCGCATTTGTCTGTTGTTGATTGAGAGGTACAGGTGCACTTTTAGGTTTCTTTGTGCGGTGACACTTACACCGTTAATAAAAGCAGCGATAGGCTAGTAATAAAACCTCAAATCCCCAAACCTTCAAATTCCATTATAAGAGCCATTCATATTTGACACACACCCCATCATCCCCTCCATGAATCCAAAGCTAGCCCTACAGTTTTAGTCCCACGTCAGAATCAAAATGTGACCAAGGCCTATTTTGTTTTTATTTTGTTTCAAATGTGATGAAAATCTCACACAGACAGGTTTTTCTCATGAGATTTCAGTCCAGGAGTGTTAACATTTCACAGGAGCAGTTGATTTCACAAGATTTCCATCAATTTGGGCAGAAATCTGTGAGAACAGCACTCTTGAATCTAACCCTAAACCCTAGCCTTTCTATGACCTAAAGTTAAAACCTGAACTAAACCAAATCTAGATTTAAAAAACTGCTTGCTTTGCCCCGTCTATGTAAAATACTCTTATCTAATTGAAAACTGGATTAAACTTCAGTGGAAGGTGATTTTCAATACAGGAACTCCTCACTTAACATTGTACTTATGTTCCTGAAAAATGCTACTTTAAGCGAAATGATGTTAAGTGAATCTAATTTCCCCATAAGAATAATGTAAGTGTGTGTGGGGGGGAGGTGGGGTTAGGCTCCAGGGAAATTTTTTTTGCCAGACAAAAGACTATATTTTATATATATATATACACACACACACATATACACAGTATAAGTCTTAAACAAACAATTTAGTACTGTACACAGCAATGATGATTGTGAAGCTTGGTTGAGGTGGTGAAGTCAAACGGTGGGATATTTCCCAGGGAATGCCTTACTGCTAAATCACAAACTGGCACTTGGCTGAGCCCTCAAGGGTTAACACATTGTTGTTAATGTAGCCTCACATGCTACAAGGCAGCACGAATTGAGGGTGGGGAGACAGCATGGCAGAGAGAGACAGAGACACATACCATGTGTGTGAGAGACGCACATTGCCCCTTTAAGTACGCTGACACCACTCTAAGTACATTGCCTTTTTAAGTAGATCAGCAAGTTGAGACAGCAGCTGCTGCCAGCAAGCTCCCTCCATCCTGAGCCCTGTCATATTCCCCCCTCCCCCAGCTCTATGGAGATGGGGTAAAGGAGCGAGGGGGGGGCAGAAGTGGGGGGGGGGGGAAGGAAACACCCTGACATTAGCACAGCGATGCACAGCAAGCAGGAGGTTCCCGGGAGCAGCTCCAAGGCAGAGGGCAGGAGCAGCACATGGCAGTGGAGGGAGGGGCAGCTGAACTGCCCAGCAATTGATAGCCTGCTAGGCGGCTGCCAGACAGGGAACTTAGAGGAGCTGATAGGGAGGCTGCCGGCCCACCCTGGTTCCAAGTTCCCACCAGCTAGTTCCAATGGGCTGCTCTTCCTGCAAGCAGTGGAGAAAGCAGGCGGCTGCCAAACGACGTTATAATGGAGCATTGCGCAACTTTAAACAAGCATGTTCTCTAATTGTTCAGCAATGAAACAACGTTAACCAGGACGACTTTAAGTGAGGAGTTACTGTCTAGCATTAAAACCTTTAAATTTTGGCAATTAAAGTAATCACTTACTGCCAGGAAGGTAGGTTTTTTTGTAGAAAGTGTAGATGTTTTCTTTGTGGTAAAAGAATGCACCTGGAACATCTGTATATGTACTTTAAGGTGTTTTAATAAAGTCGTCCAGTGAGTCAAATTCCTGGTCAAAAGGATTGCCTCATTTTTGCTGTGTTCGCCTTGGACCATTTAGCAATTTACTGACATCAAAGGAGGTGTTAGCGGGTGAGATGTTCCAGGTATTCTTCATCTGCCTTTCCATCCCCTGAACATATGACGGCCCAAAGGATTCTAACTATCATATGGCCATGACTCAGCAAGTGAGCTAATCCCAAGAGGAACTGGATGGCTTTTATTAATCTACCCAGAGTCACTGTTTTTTTCAGTCTATCCGGCCATTCCCCAATCCTCCCCATCCATAAGGACGGTCATTAAAATTTTATGCCATGTGCTTTCACAATTAGCAACACATAGCCAACCTGCTCCAAAACTTGAACTCATTAATAGCTAAAAGAGAGCACTTGTTAACACTCCCCACCCCCCACCCCACCCGGTCTCAGCCTTTGCTAACCCAAGGAATGAGAATCTAGGTAACCCTTCCAGTCCAAAAGTCACTCTAAATTCTTGCACAGTCCTAATTCTGATGCAAAACTCTGCATTCATACAGAAAATGTCTCACACTGGGCCAAATGAATCCCTCCTATAACTCTTCTGAAATCACTGGAGTTGCACAAAGGATGAATTATTATCTCTACATATGTATCTATCTTAATCCATCATGTACAATAATTTCCTTAAAAGGTGATTGATGTCGAGCAGAGAATGCAGAATGTCTTAGCATGTAGTCCAGCTGAAAAAGAGCTGCATTCAAGATGCTAAAATATGAGCTCAAGAAAATATGTGCTTCCATTTCAAAGAGGAAATTAGTGATTTGTATTAATTATCTTCACATTTTTCTCTTCTAGAATTTTTGAACATTATTCAATAATTCACTTCTTGGGTGTCAGGATTTTATTTTATTGCTTTGTGAAAGCACATTTAGAATTCTTCAGTTATGTGCAGATAAACTGTGCGTGACTTTCTGTTCTAAGTCCCATTGCACCTAGATGCTTTGAAAAAATTTACACTTCAAAGCAGCCTGCGAAGGTTTTGCAGCTTTCTAAAACTGAGACTAGCAGTGAGCAAACCTCAAAAGCTTGAAGGGTCAACCTCATCACTAGTAGCCACACAACCCTTTACATCCAACGAAGCGGGTATTCACCCACGAAAGCTCATGCTCCAATACGTCTGTTAGTCTATAAGATGCCACAGGACTCTGAGATAAATCAATTACAGCAGGATACCAAGAGAGGAAAAATAACTTTTGAAGTGGTAAGAGAGTGGCCCATTACAGTTGACAAGAAGGTCTGAGTAACCGTAGGGAGAATTAGTATTGGGGAAATTAAGTTTAGGTTTTGTAATGACCCAACCACTCCCAGTCTTTATTCAGGCCTAATCTGATGGTATCCAGTTTGCAAATTAATCCAGTTTATCTTGTTAGACTGACCTCACACTTGGTAAAGAAACCCCCATCCTTTCATGTATTTATACCTGCTCCTGTATTTTTCATTTCATGCATCTGATGAAGTGGGTTCTAGCCCACGAACGCTTATGCCCAAATAAATTTGTTAGTCTCTAAGGTGCCACAAGGACTCCGCGTAGATTTTACTCATCATTACGTATGGTTTCCAGTTCTGTCCTACCAAAAGTTAATGGCCCACCATTAATTTGAAACTGTCACACTTCTTTCTACATTTTTATTGTTGTTGCAAACACCACCTAAAATGACTATAGCTGAAAGGGATTAGAGAAGCAACCAAAAAAAAAAAAAGTTTTTCCTTTATTTTTCCAGCGTGCTTAATTTGTGCATTTGACAGCACTTCCTGCTCTATGGTCAGTTTCACTGTTTCCCCCTGGATACTACACATTTGTTAGTCAGTTTTCCCTGTCAGTGTGGATCTGTTGCAGCAACATGAATGAAAAAATCATTTGTAAAAACAGGAAACTGTTGTTGTAAAACCATCCCTTCCCCCCCCCACCAAAAAAAAATATTAGTATGTATTTACAGTGCCTACCACAGTGGTCCTCTGGTCCTTGAGCGAGGGCTCTAAATTAGTGGCTCTCAACCTTTCCAGACTACTGTACCCCTTTCAGGAGTCTGATTTGTCTTCCATACCCCCAAGTTTCACCTCACTTAAACTACTTGCTTACAAAATCAGACCTAAAAATACAAAGTATCACAGCACACTATTGCTGAAAAATTCCTTACGTTCTCATTTTTACCATAGAATTGTAAAATAAATCAACTGGAATATAAATATTGTGCTTACATTTCAGTGTATAGTATATAGAGCAGTATAAACAAGTCATTGTCTGTATGAAATTTTAGTTTTTACTGACTTCACTAGTGTTTTTTATGTAGCCTGTTATAAAACAAGGCAAAGATCTAGATGAGTTGATGTACCCCTGGAAGACCCCTGCGTACCCCCAGTGGTACACATCTTGGTTCCCTCTAAGGTGAGTGCCTGCACAGCTGCGCAGGAGGCCACCAAGGGCCGTGCAGGCGTGCACACTGTACTCGGGCGTGGGGTGAGGTGGGGGGTGGTGATGTGGGAGCTTGGGGGCATGCAGGGCTGCGACAATTCCCCCAGCCCCGGGGCTGCAGCACAGCGAGGAGAGAGGCCTCTCCCCCCAGCCTGGGGCTGCAGCGGGGCAAGACGCCTTTCCCCCAGCCCCAGAGCTGCTGCGGCCAGGGAGAGGCCCCTCTCCCCTAGTCCCCGCCCCAAGGCTGCTGCGGCAGAGAGAGATGCCTCTCCCCCAGCCCAGGTGCTGTTGCGGGGAGAGAGGACTGGGGGGAATCCTCTCTTCCCACCGCAGCCCCTGGCAGCCTGCACCCCAAAACCCTCTCCCCAGCCCCACCCCAGAGCCCTCACCCCTCTGCACCCCAACCCTTTGCCCCAGCCCTGAGCCCCCTCCTGCACCCTGAACCCCTCATCGCCAGCCCCACCACACATAACCTCTATATTGGAGCACATAACAAAATTCATTCCACACATGGATGAGAAAAATTAGATGGAACATTGGTACACGTACTGCCGGTTGAGAACCACTGCTCTAAATAAATAAATGAATAAATAGCATTAACACTAACACCGACAACAAATATCAGGGGGACTCAGAGACTGGTATAGAACCTGGAACTGCTTTTAAGTTACAATTAGATTTCAAGTTGACTGTGTCCCTTTAAATAGATTCCTTCAAAACTAATTGTTAAAACCCCTCCCATCTGGCCTGCTCTTTTTTAGGCTGGCAGATGTTGCTTTAGAATCTGCAGTTTTGCATTCATCAGTGGGAGTGGGGGGGGGGGTCAGAAGGCAGTAAGCCCATACAGCTCACAAGCGCTCCAAAATCAGCCAGGCCAGCAGTGGCTGTATGGCAAAAATCACTTTGAAAATAGGAACTTCCCAGGGCTGGATGGAAGGAGCTGATTGGCACAGAATATAACCTCGGGAGTCGTCAAATCTTACCGAGTTATAGGTGAAACCGCATTATATCAAACTTGCTTTGATCCACCGGAGTGCGTAGCCCCCCCCCCCGGAGTACTGTTTTACCACGTTATATCCAAATTCATGTTATATCGGGCCGCATTATATCGGAGTAGAGGTGTATATCTGTTTTATGGTATGCTTCTTTTTGTTGTAGCTTCAAGAGAAAACCTTTTCAATGATGTCAACAGAGTATGTGCAACCACTTGATATCCCAGAAGACAGATTGGACAAGCGAGACTCACACTGCAACCGTTTAGGTAAGTGTTATTATGGTGATGTCAGTGACTTGTAATTAGAGAGGTGTCTTCTTTACATCATTAAGTACTGTCCATTGGCTTTTTCTTTCCAAGAGGTATAACTGAGCCCTCATGAAACCCGATAGACTATGCCTTCTGGTAACACATCTGCTGCCAGATGGACAGGCAAAGGGTGTCTTTCCTGCATATAAATATTAGCTGAAGCTCTAGAAGGAAATTAATTAAAGAGAGGAAAGGAAAAAGAGTCATTTTCTTTTTCGTGACAGAGAAAGAGAAGCGCTTTTATCGATTATACAATAATAAACTGGAAGCTAAGATATATCTGAGCCTTCACTACACCCACTTTCTATGTGCAATTTCAGTAAAAGTTTTCAAATATTCCTTTAGCCTATATTTGGACAGAATTTTAATTTTTTTCCCCTTTATTGTCAATCTGTCCTTTCTGGAGCTGACTTTTTACATAACTTTTGCACTTGGAGTACCAGAGGCATCTCTGCTCATACACACTTCTAAATATGAGGCTTTCAAGACTTTGATAGATGTGACTTTTGCATATTTTTGCGTTTTGCATATTCGACTTTGCTTCACATGTCATTACTTTATTCCAACCTTCCAAAATTGTCATGAAGATTTGCTAACCCAGGCACAAAAATCTACTTGACTACCCGTACACTGGTGATAATAATGAAATACAAATGCTGTTTTATTTGTCCCAAGCAAGTAGAATTTTGCAAGCCTGCTTTACTCACACACAATCAAGATGTCTGAGTGTGATTTCACCCTGGAAGCACAACCCAGGTCAGGGCTCTTTTATGATAGGCGCTATATAGAAACAAAATGAAAAATGTCTCTCTTCTGAAGAACTTACCATCTAAATAGACAAAACAGACAAAAGATGTGAGAAAGGAAGAACTATTATCCCCATTTTACAGGTGTGGAACCGAGGCACACAGGAATAAATGATTTTACTCAAGATCACATGGGAAGTCTGTGGCACAGCTGAGCATTGAAATCCAAAACTGCTGAGTACCAGTGCAGTGCCTTAATTGTGAAGTCATTCATCCTTACTTTCACTAGTCCATGGAAGTATGATGGTGTGAAATCTAGGATGTGAAATCAGAATCAGGCCCCTTTTGTTAAGCAAAGTTTCTAACTGAAAAGCAAAGCTGACAAATCCAACCAAAGCCAAATTTAAAAACCAGACCTCTGGTTTGTGTGCTATTAGTGATGGGTCAACCTCAAAAGACTCAATTTGTTCAGCTTGACTAAGCATCCAGAAATTTGGGTAATTGTCTAGAATGTACCCAGACTATCTGATGAGTCAAGTCCTGCTTCAATATACACTGGTGCAAATCCAGAGTAACTCCACCAAAGTAAATAGGAGCTGTGGGTAGAGAGGACCTCTTAAAATTAGTCCTATTATTTAGGTGCCTAAATATGGCATCTAAGATTGAAAATATTAGCCTTAACGTCTGTGTCACCCTATCTATAATATGGGTATAATTCTTCCCTTCTTCACTGTGAGGTTTAATTCTCTAAGGCCAGCATAAGTACTTAATTCTCACTTATTCCCCGTTTTTAGTGGTATTAAGGCCCTTGTGATCAGGGCCGGCTCCAGGCACCAGCGCAGCAAGCAGGTGCTTGGGGTGGCCAAGGGGAAGGGGCGGCACGTCCGGCTCTTCGGCGGCAATTTGGCAGCGGGTCCCTTAGTTCCTCTCGGAGGGAAGGACCTGCCGCCGAAGAAGAAAGCGGATCGCAATCGCGGCTTTTTTCTTTTTTCCCCCCGCCGCTTGGGGCGGCAAAAACCCTAGAGCCGGGCCTGCTTGTGATGGCCTTCTGTGCAGAGGTGAATTTACTTTGTGTTTTAACCAGCTATGGTGTAAGTATTGTTATTAAAGTGAGCCCTTTTTTAAATTCTGTGATTCATTATTTTCTATTAGCTAGGTATTCTTTATTTTTTCCACGCAGATGACCTTTCAGAACAGTTCATTAAGAATTGTGACCTAAAAAAGAAACCAAGAAAGGGTAAAAATATCCAGGCTTCCCAGAACAGTGAGCTGGAACAGAAAAAGCCAAGGAGAAAGGATACACCTGCCTTACACACCCCACCACCTATACCAGGTAACACAACTTAATAATATTGAAATCTGACAAACCCCTGATGTTTCCTGGTTTACTTGTATTCACTAGGAATTGAATAAAAATATTACTGTCCTCAATTCTCCTACATCTGTGTGTGCCTGCTTATGGCAGGGAGGGAAAATAGGATTCTCAAAAGCACTCGGTGTTGAAATGTATGAAAAATTCACACCCTGAGACACATTGTTAAGCCGACTAAAGCCCCATGGTGTGTACACACAGTTAGGTTGACAGAAGAATTCTTCCATCAACCTAGCTACCGCCCCTTGAGGAGATGGATTAACTACATTGATAGAAAATACCCTTCCCTCAGTGTAGCAAGTGTCTACCCTACGGCACTACAGTGGCCCAGCTCCAGCACCATAGTTGTGCCACTGTAGTGTAAGCATACCCTGAGTATATTAAGTTAGATGGGTGCAATTTTTATCAATGTAGACGAGGTTTAAGTAATATTTATTGTGTGTCGTTCCCTGCAGGCATCCTCTCAGACTTTTCAGAACATTTAATTAAAAGGTGTGACATCACCGAAAAACCACAGAAGGGTAAAGTGAGTTCAGTCTCTCAGCTCACTGATCAGGAACAGAAAAAACCCAGGAGAAAAGATACACCTGCAATACACATCCCACCCCTTATACCAGGTAAGAGCATTAGCACAGCTTTCAAAGGTAAAAAGTAAAGGGCAGTTAGTTTAGGAACACCCTCTGGAAGTGTATGGGACACCATTTATCTGCCCACTCTGCTTAACTTATCTAATCATGCCTACTTTGATCTACTTATTTTCCTTATTCCCAATTGGAATTATTGTTATTATTTGTGTTGCAGTAGTGACCAAAATGTGCTAGGTTCTGTACAAAGGTAGGACTCAGTCCCTGTTCTGAAGAGCTTACAATCTGAAAGAAATTGGGAAAGGGAGATCTCTTTTGACTTACCCTTGCTGAGAAATAAGAATGAGTTCAGAGTTCAAATTAAAAAAAGAACGGACCCAAATCTTTGCCCACAATTTGACTTGAATTTGACCACTTAGATTGTAAGCTCTTTGGGGGCAGGAGCAGTTTCTTGGTTGTGGGTTTGTATAGCTCTAAACATGACGGGGTCCTGGTCCGTGGCTGGAGCCCCCTAATGCTGGCGTAATACAAATAATACATACTAATGGCAAAGGTGAGTATTTGAACTCATCCAAGCCCCTGGAGGGTCACCTATCAATAAACGAATCCTTCAGTTTTTGTTGGGACCAGAATTTTGTTATCAGTTTAAATGGATCCAATCAGTCTTCTCCTCACCTCTCACCCATGTAGTGAATGGTGAAAGCTGAAGGCAGGAGGCAGCATGGTTTAATAGATAAAGCACAGGACTAAGAGGCAAGAACACCTGGCTTGTTATCCTGGCTCTGCCATTGACTTGCTGTGTGGCCTTGGGAAAGTCACTTAGACCAAAATTTGGGTGCCTAAAATTAGGCACTTGAATTCATCTCTAGGCTTCTAATTAAAGCATGGCATGATTATTGGTTGTGCTGAGCACCTTTAGTCCTGAGTGAATTTTAGGTCCTGATCCCTCACTGTGGCCAAGCACATTTCAGGAAGGGCTCTTGTGGCCCCTCTGCTGCCGTGCTGCAGGATTGAGGGAGGAGAAAAGGGGTTCAAATTATAGCCAGCCCCCAGTGGTTCCAAGCATCCGTAACAGCAGTAAGGGACTGTCAGAAGGCCCCAGCGATGCCCCCTAATCCAGCTGCAGGGGCATAACGAGCATATAAGACTATCTCACTGGAAGATCATGATATACACTGAGGTGATCCGGCAGTGGTGGCCATCCAGCCAACAATGGCTACAGGGCCTTTTTGTGGCAGTGGTACAACCGGAGAGGCTATGGAGCAGCTAACTAGCTTGGGCATCCATATGGACTCAGCCACCCAAATTTGAACATTGTGCCCTTAATTACTTTGTTTTTTAGTTTTCCTATCTGCAAAAAAGACACTGCTCCTTACTTTCCCTACACCACAAATGTGTTGTTAGCCTTAATTAGCTAATGTTTGCACAGTGCTTTGAAGATGTAAAGTGCCACATCAGCGTCAAATATTACTACTGTTCAGGGAGGAGTGAGCTATTGCCAGTCAGAAGAAGCAATGTCTCAGCTGTTTCCAAATCACTGGGGAGGGAGGGACAGCTCCAAATCTAGTGTTAAATGGTTCATAAAGTAAGATACCACTGGAGAGGGACACTTACTAGATAGTAAGGAGCACTAGAAAAGAAAAGGCCTAAGGACCTGATTCAGCAAAAGCATTTAAGTGCATGCTTACATTTAGAAACAGTTGGCACAAAGAGAGAGAGAGAGAGAGAAACAAAGGAAAGAAAATTATAGAGGGGGACAACGATAAGAGGCACCTTAGAAATATTTCCACCAGACTGATGGGAAAAAAATCCAAACAACTAAAAAAAGACCTGAGGAAATGTAAGCCCTTTGGGGCCAGATTTCCAATGGTATCTCAATACCTAAAGTTACAGATAGGCATCACCTGGAATTTACAGAATTGTCTAAACAGGTTAGGCACCTAAATGTGTGATGCTTCCCAGGGGCACCCAAGGTTGGGAGGTACCTTACCACCACCAGCCCTTTGCCTGAGGAAGTCTTGTCTGTACCTGCTGTGGGTCAGCTCCCTGAAACCACCAGCCTCTGGCAGCACAATCACTTCTTTCCAGGCCTCCGCAGGTCTCACTTTCTGTATAAGCAGTGATAGGCACACACCAATCCCCGAGTACTGCAAGCATGCCCTATTCCTTTGAACACACACACACAACTAGATCTGCTGTTCCCAAAGGAATAGCACACACCATCTCATAAGCATCTGCTCAGAGTCCCTGCTTTACTTAACACATAGCATTTAGATAGATAGATAGATAATTTATTCTTGTTCCCACTAATCTTATCAAAGAACAGAGATTCAAGTGATAGAGAGTGAGAATATGGGAAACAAATGGTTACAGATAAAACAAAATAATAACATGCATTCTAGAGACTAAACTTAACTAACAAAGTATTCCTCCATCTCCTAAAGATAGCTTACCCCAAGTTCTTTCCCCAGGGTTTTCTCCAGTTTGTCTAAGACTTCTCATCAGATCAAGCCCACTGGCATATTGTCCTCACAGATTGAAGGAATGAGGGTGCATCTCCTTAAACCCCTGAAAGTTAATTGTCCTTACTTTAAACAGGGCTCTCCCCTACTGGTTCACTTCTTTCTGTAAATTTCTTCTCTTTGAAGATTTCTCAATCCTCCATTAGCATTCAGCTCAGACTATAGGCGGAGGCCCATTGTAAACCATAAAATACGTAATTTACATGTAAACAAGACAGATAACCATTTCTTGCCTGAAAGAAAATGTGGTTTTCCCTTTCTGCTGACCAGTCCCTAGTTACAGTCCGTAACGACGTAATTTTCAGTATATATACACACAACTCCTTACTCAACATCCGTACGTATATTTGGTCATGGTGAGCAGTGTGACACAGGCTTTCATTAGAAAACTTACATGGCATTCTTTTGGTGAACCCAGGGGACCCCTATACCCCTATATAACCCTGTACCCTCTGCCAGTTGCCATCTTGAGGGTCTTGGGTCACAAACTCCTATTCAAATCAATGGGGCTTAGGTTGCTTTTGAAAATCCCAGTAGGCAACTATCTGCCTCTTTAGGTGCTTAAATATCTTTGTAAATCTGCCCCTTCCGAAGGGTCCCTGGTAATGCAGGGCATCTGCTCATGTGAGTAAGGTTGAGACAGTTTGGAGGATTAGGTCATAGAGTTTGGCAAGGTACTGGAAAAAATGAATCCACCAATATCCTACAAATTGCTCTGCACAATCAGACCTTAGCACCTGTGCCACCCCATTACAATCTAGTGTTGACTGACTTGCAGGATCAAGGCTTAAATTTGAATTTTTAAACAAATTTGCTTGTACTGCGTTTGCAAGTACTTTTGTCTTCCTTTCATTCAAATACTTTAGTTAACATGCCTGGGAGGTATGGGGAAATCAATTTTAAGTAAATATTGGAATCATTAGAGGCACCTAAATACCTTTGAGGATCTGGGCCTAGGTGATATATTTCCAATTGCAGCTGCTTCATTTTCAAATGTTAAATATCAAGTAGGACTGTCAAGCAATTAAAAAAAGTAATCACGATTAATCATGTGATTAAAAAATTAATTGCACTGTTAAACAATAGAATACCATTTATTTAAATATTTTTGGATGTTTGATTTCAGTTACAACACAGAATACAAAATGTACTTTAGATGTATTTTTGATTACAAATATTTGCACTGTAAAAAAGCAAAAGAAATAGTATTTTTCAATTCCCTTATTACAAGTACTGTAGTTCAATCTCTTTATCATGAAAGTTGAACTTATAAATGTAGAATTATGTACAAAAAAACTGCATTCAAAAATAAAAATGTAAAACTTTAGAGCCTACATGTCCACTCAGTCCTACTTCATGTTCAGACAATTGCTCAGACGAACAAGTTTGTTTACATTTGCAGGAGATAATGCTGCCTGCTTCTTGTTTACAATGTCACCTGAAAGTGAGAACAGGCATTTGCATGGCACTGGCATCGCAAGATATTTATGTGCCAGATGTGCTAAAGATTCATGTATCCCTTGATGCTTCAACCACCATTTCAGAATACATGCATCCATGCTGATGATGGGTTCTGCTTGATAACAATCCAAAGCAGAGCGGACCGACGCGTGTTCATTTTCATCATCTGAGTCAAATGCCACCAGCAGAAGATTGATTTTCTTTTTTGGTGGTTCAGGTTCTGTAGTTTCCGCATCTGAGTGTTGCTCTTTTAAGACTTCTGAAAGCATGCGCCATACCTTGTCCCTCTCAGATTTTGGAAGCCATTTCAGATTCTTAAATCTTGGGCTGAGTGCTGTATCTATCTTTAGAAATCTCACATTGGTACGTTCTTTGTGTTTTGTCAAATCTGCAGTGAAAGTGTTCTTGAAACGAACATGTGCTGGGTCATGTGACAAAGTTCCTCTTCTGCCTTGGTGGGTCCTGCGCTTTTTGGCGGATTAGCTCTCCTCAGAGGTTCATGGCAGCCCTCAGTTTGGCCGCTTCTGCTCGAGGCTCAAACCTGCCATTCACTCAGCTAACCACATCACTGGCCAGCATGGGGGAAAAGGGAGAACAATCTCCGCTGTCTCTGTGTACCACCTAGTAGGTCGGGAACAGGCCAGATCCCTCAGCACCTTTATCCTCACACCACAGGACTTTCCTCCTGAAGCCTGATCACGCTTGTACTCCTTAGTCCTCCAGTACCATGCCTTCTCACTCCCTGCTCCTTGCACGCCCTCCACTAACTGATGGGAGGTCCTTTTTAAACCAGGTGTCCTGATTAGTCTGCCTGCCATAATTGATTCTAGTATGTTCTTAATTGGCTCCAGGTGTCTTAATTAGCTTGCCTGTCTTAATTGGTTCTAGCAGGTTCCCGATTGCTCTAGCGCAGCCCCTGCTCTGGTCACTTAGGGAACAGAAAACTGCTTATTCAGAGGCCAGTATATCTGCCTTCTACTGCTCTGCTGTACCCAACTGGCCTGGGTCTATCACAGTCATCATCCAAGACTGCCATAACACAAAATATAT